TACAGTACAAATAATCAAATGTTTTGCTTAGGGATCATTGATAAAATTTCTAATGATCAGTAAATTTAATGGAGAGGCATTATGATGGATTAAACCCTTCTTAACTTAATTTAAAAAAAAATAATATGAGCTTTATTTATCCTGATACAAAATATCTGGAGCACCAACAGTTGTCTATAACGATTAATGACTTATCGTATAGAAAGGTTATTCTCGAATGACCTTGTTGTGTTTGAACCCTAAATATGATGATCAAGTTAAAATTTTTATATTTGAAATTGTTTAAATGTATAAATTCATATAGGTACCTATTATTATTCATTAGTATGTAGATGAATTAATTTAGTTACGAGATCTATAAGAATACGTGTATAATAGTTGATATAGCACTGTTTATAAATTTATAATTAATTTAATTAAATAACAATATAACATTATCTGTGATTTTTGAACTACGCCCACCAAGTATATGACCACTGTGTATTGATAACTTGATTTTATAAACATAATTTATTCTCACCGTTGTTTTTCTTTTTCTTTTATATATATATGTATATGAACACGACACAATTTACACGTTTATTATAATTAATAACTAATTTTCCTCTCATCTTTTTCAATTTTTTAAAATTTTTTGGGTGACATTGGTAAATCTGGCAGATCAGGTTTAAGCATGCATCAAATCGAATTTTAGTACATTGCCTACCAAGGTGGCTGTCAGCTGAGTTACACTTATAGCCGCTCATCGGCATGTACACAATCAAAATAATTAATAAAATTAAAATTAAACATATTATTCATATAGAGTGTGCACCTAGCGGGGTCCGCAATCCACCATAGGTAGATAGCCTACCTGATAATATACTGCTTACATTATCACAAGCGAGTCTCATATAGAGTTGGCATTTGTAAAGGGTAATGAAGTGCATATTTTATAAGGCAAGTAGTATACAGTAGGCTAGTAGTGCTGGAACAGAACGGACCCCCATCCAGTCCACTGGACTACGAGGTGTTTGTTGCGAAGTACGCGGGATACAACGCGTCGCTGCAGGAGAACGGTGCTGTGAATTCGATTGGAAATTTCGTTTTAATCAATATTTAAAAAAGGTTTTTTTCTTTTTTATAGAGTTTATAACGATGCTTGCGCTATAAGTACGGTATAACATGTTTTATTTAAATTTTTTAATACTGAAAATAAAAATTACAAATGTTTGTGACAATTTTTTGAAAAAATTTTAAGTAGTTAATCTTTAAATCTAATTTTAAAAAAATGTATGTTAATAACGTTTATTTATGTCACCCGTTTATTTTTTCAATTATTTAAAATATCAATAATTTTTTTGAGTAAATCAATTTGAATTTTTCATTTTCATCTGTCAGGTTTTTCTACTACGCCCTATACTTGTACGCCTATACCTAACATTTATATAGTTCAACCGTAAGTGTGATGAGCTACTACATTGCCTGTATGGTTTATAGAATAATTTGTTGTAGTGAAATATCATGTTAGACTAGGCTAGTACTAGCATTAGTTAATTCGTTCTTAAAAATAACTTCACAAACACCGACACTCGCATATACAACCTGGCTTTCATCGTGTAGGTATATTATAGGGACTGAAAATATGAGCATACACTACCTAGCTTACTCATGTATGTGGATATAACTGTTAAGGCCATAATAAGGGCAACATTATAATGGTATTTGTTTAAACAGTGACTTAACGTCGTGTGGATATAGTGGGTACACTCGAAATGTGTGAAACTGCCCCCAAGTGCATACATCGGGACACCCCTCGCGTCATTGCACAAACACACAAACACACACACGCACACATACACACATACACACACATAGTGATATTTCATAATAGAATAATAATATGCATTGACCTCGTCGCTGTGTAGACAGTCAAACACCGCGCATATAATATAATAGTGTGTACGGGACATCATGTATCGCTTTTGGCATAAATATAATATGTATACATTTTATTCTACGAGTCATCCGAACAACGGTTTGGTTTAGGTACACAACCGCACGTCGCGGATTTTATTAAATTACAAACTGTGTCGGACAAAACGCATATACGTATATATTATATAATAATATATATTATAAACTCACCCCGATAATAATATTAAACACGCGGGCGCGCGCGCTCGCCACTCGAGAGGGTGTGTGTTTTGGCAAACGATTGTTGTGCGTATAATATAATAATAATGTGTAATTTTTTTCGCGTCTCTCTCTCTCTCTCTCTCGACTCTTACAATAATACGTACACGTGTGTGCATATTACGTATATATATATATATATATGCACATGCGCACAAACCGCAGACCATTACCGTTGCATCATCATTGTACTACTATTATCTTACACACATATGTACATAAATGCAAGTCTCGTATGGGCGGAATAGGGGGCGTGCGCATTGTGTCTTGCACCGCTATACACGCACACGCGCTGTAAATTTATATGCGTACTTCGGCGAGGCGGCGAGTGCATTAAAAACGTATATAATATTGTGTAAAAATACGATTCGGACATCAGCTGCGGGAGGGCGCCGGGACGAGTGGCTTTTTGACTTTTTTTTTTTTTATTCAGGAAAAAAAAACGCATGTATATACATAATAATATCATACATTATCATTGTGTTCATAACATATACAGCATACCGAGAATTCGCGGGCGCGCGTCTGTGCTGTATAGTATATATATATATACGAACCGCATTATCGTTACATATTATTATATACACGCGCGTTTATTATGTATTATGTACATAATAGTATGTATAAAGGACGTTACAAATACGCGTGACAATGGACCGCGGCGATCGGTTAAGACCCGAAAACATATTATGTATATATGGGCTCAGGGACCGCTGCTGACTCGCGGACTCCGTCGTCGTCGTTTTTGTGTTTATTCGATTATTATTTTTTTGGCATACAAATTTTACACACAAACACACACACACACACACACATACACACACATACACACACACATATATATATATATAGGTACCTATAATATTATTATAATACACCTCCTATAAATGCGGACGCTAGCAGATGGCGAGACGACCCGACGTTGTTCCGGCGTTTATGCTTAAATATATATTGCTGGAGAATATAAATATATATATATATATATAATACGTAGGTACATATATTCACGCATATTGTATATATTCTATTATATTCTATTATGTTATATTATGTTATATATTATTACAAACACACTCGCATAATATATAGGTATAATAGGTATATATATATATATATACAATATAATATCGTGGACATAAGTCTCTCGACATGTATTAATATAATATATATATATGGGTATATACATGCGATCAAAGTCAAAGACGCGGAATAATTACGAGCTAACCGCTTTAATGCGACGGCAGTGGCGGTGGCGGCGGCGGCGGCGGCCTCTCTGGGGGAGGGCGGCGATGACATATCCGAATGAATTATTATAGACATCTCGAGATTTCTATACCTCTATACATCTATGTGTGTATGTGTGTGTGTACCTATATATTATAATGTATGATATCGTGTACGTACGCTCTACATGCCCGATATATGTTTTGTGTGTGTATGCCTGTATACCGATGATAGTGTACCTATATAAACTTATCGTATATTATTATTATACAATCGTGGGATTCATTTTATAGTCCGCATGTTATATTATTGTAGAAGACTAACGAATTACACGTAAACACGTTGTATAACAATCGATTAAATTGAAAATAATAATAACAATATATATATATATATTATATACACATATAGTAATGTAGGTACGGTAATTACATTTTACAACACGTATAGTACAACAGGTATATAGTCGTATTATATAGTCTGCAGATCACAACAGCGCGATGACAGTGATGACCTGCATCGTATAAGCTGCGCTGACCGTAACGCAAATATCGACAAACAATCGTATTTATTATATGTGTGAACGAAAACATATATAGCCTTAGCGAAACGGATAATACCCACGCAGTGCAGGCGCACACTGTTATTCTGTCGGGGGCGTCAAGAACGTTTTTTAAATACATATACCCGCCACCACCATATTATGCTTATCGAAAAGAACTACTTAGCATAGATATAAATTATAAAGATAAAAGTATCCAGGTCCAGGTCATCTATGGCAACACCAACCCTTATTCTATATTGGAGAGTCAGCTAATAGGTACCCTCCTGTACGCCCATTTTAGTACACACCGTAACCTACACGGTGAAAAATAGATAGGCACTCAATGAACGTTTTTCAGTGTTCAATATGTTTTTCTCCCTACTCTTATACAAAACTTTCATCGACGGATCTAAAAGTATTCATAAAAAAAACCAAATAATATATATTGTTGTATGTTTATAAGAAATGTTGCATTGTCTACAACACACGGTTATTGATGATATAACTGCGGCCCTGCAATAAAGTCTCCTTTATTTTAACAATCCGCTATTAAAGCAATATCATACTAATTTTCCATTAACTATATATCTTATGAAAATATAAAAAAAGCACCATAATTTATCCATCTTCCAAATCACTGCTGTTAATTTAAATATACAATAATTTGTATTAAAACTTTAAGGTTAATTAATTATTACTTAATATTATAATTATTGACATATAATAATCATCTAATATCGTCTGCACCAACAATATAATAACATATAATTATATTAATAATATATAAGGCACCTCAAAATTTGTAAAGTGCGTACACACGTATATACGTATATTAAAGTATGTAGATTTTAGAAATATGTCGGTATATAAACGTATATAATTATATAAATATGTGTACTATATCGTATAACATATAGGCCTCACAAGCCTATTATATTATATAGATACTCGTGTATATACGTGTGTATACATTATAATAATTTATTTATTTTTACATTGAGGACAGTATAAATCGTCCATGTAACGGTAAAAATATACCGGTGCAGTTTGCGCGTACCTTGACGTATTGGACGAATTCGTACTTTTCACGAAAGTGTAAACTTTTGTTCTCGCATAAAGCATCTTCCGCTAAATGTCTTGACTTGTCAGCAGTTTTCTCCTGCAATCATAATTAAGTTATTGACGCCTCGAATAATATAACACATATGCATGGTGGTTGTGTACTGTGTACAGAATTTAGGGAACAAATTATTATTATTATTATAATGTCAATGATATCAATAATCGGGTAGACCGTAGACAAATATAATAGTATTATAGCAAATGCGAGAGTATTAAATTCTCGCAGACATTATATATTTTAATATTTATATGCACACATCGTGTCCAAGAAAACAGGGTACCTACAAAGAAAAAGCGAAGTTGTTGCGCGTGCACAAAATACAAGTGTTGAAAAATTGTAAGACATAGCTTAGGCTCACGTCCCTCAAACAGAATTCAAAAATATATATTGAGCACTGAGTGTACCCGGTTTTTGTGGACACACTACGGTATACATCTGCACCCACGTGATGCATATTATTATATTGTAACCACGGTTACCTGTAAAAGATAACCGCGATTATAACATAATACGCGTGACTATACGCATAATAAATTATCAAAATAATCTCAAAGTTAAAATCTTGACGCTCACGTATCGACAATAAAGTGTCTGTATATACATTGTAAGTCGCGCGGCTATAAATTTTTAACGATTCTGCCAGCAGTTTTCAGCGAGACCCTTAGCTCCTCCGAACGTAAACATTATAATAATGTATATTATGTTATGTGTATTGCCCGAACAAGGAAAACATCAAATGTAGACCATTCATGTTAGACTAACGAACGATTGACATCAGCTTTAGATCTATAGAGACCAAACACAGCAGATTGACTATACACGCATTATCGCTAGTCATTTTTCACACCTTTCACTGTGGTTAAATCGAATACAATCAAAACTTTCCATCGCTATTCGCGAATTTAGTAAAACCATTTTTTATCCGTACCTATACATATTATATGCATTTTCCCATATTATCATCATACGCGATGTTCCCTATCCCCTGTGATTGTACAGTATTTATATATAATAATACCTATTTATGTGAATACTATATAATCCTTGACATATTGAAAACCTCACGCAATAAGAAAAAAATCAAAATGATGATGTTTCAAGCAGAGTTAGTTTTTTAATAGTACGTATTTTAAATTATTAAATTTTGATCCATTATTTAATTTTTTTTTAACTACACACACAATACAATTATTATAACAAAATTACTCTGCGTAGGTACCTAGTACGCATGTTTATAATGGACAAATAATTATTAGAAATTCGCTCAAAGTTGTATTACGTCCAGTCTACTATTATTAACAGTTCAATATTAAACGAGTAGGTTGTACGCCTATAATATGAACGTTATAAAAACATTTAATATAATAATGTAATAGGCGCATTGGATTTATATACATTTCAAAACAAAACACAGATACCCTGCAGCCGTATAATGTATATGGTCATCGGGATATTTACGATTAAATGCAAAAATATATTCACTAAACGTCTCATTTAATTAAGATATGTTAGGTATATATAATATTTAGGTAGGTAAAAAATAAAAAAATGTCTTCAATATTAAAATTAATGAGGCGAAAAATCATAAACTAGGTGCAAAACACTGCTCATATACATAAACACTTCAATATAATCGAAACATTTAAATTTAATGTGTTGGATATATTTTTTTATCGCTGTTAAAATGGTGCCCATTAAATGTTTTACTGCTACCGGTACTACTACTGTTTTACTTTAGTTGTTATACGACGCGCGCATATCATCATATACCTATATACGTGTCTGCTATGTATGTGTGTGTGTGTGTGTGTAATAAATATATATATCTGTGTGTAATGTGTTTTTATTTTCTCATATATTTTGAGATTTGCCGAGCTGCAGCACGGGTGGGGCCCCTAAAGTCGACATAATCGTTTTCGGCGCAAACGTATATTATACCTAACACAACATTAATTCACCCATAAACACTGCAACACAACCAGACGTGACGGGGCCAGCCGCTACGTTACTGCATACACGACGATGTTTACGGATTTTCGCATACGATTTGTCCTATATTTATATTATTATTGTTGTATGTTTTAAGATGCGCCTGTGCAGACGAGCGTCTGTATATAATAGTAATATACGTTTTGAATGAGTAGGTAAGCGCATAATATATTATTGTAATATCGTTATAACGTTTGACCGGGTCGATTGTACCGGAATACGGTAGGTAAAGTGAGTATAATATTGTTCGGGATTAAATTCAATTATATAAATAACGTGATGGAACGACTCGCGAGTGCGGTCGAGCTAGGTGAACGGGGTGGGTAGTGGCGAGAGCAGGGTGGTGGAGATCGAGTTGGAGCCTCACTAAAATGCTTATTTCGCGTAAACAGGAAATTATAAAAATAAAAATAAAAAGGAGCTGAAAAAAAAATAATAAATAAAATCGTCGTCGGCAACATGTGATAGCACAAAAGCAGAGGATGTGGGCAATATTTCGTCGGGGACTTGCAGTGGACAACCGGTACCATATATTCCGAACGCAGCATGACTTATTAGCGTATACTTTGAATATTTTTAAATATACAATTTTTATTACACTTATTTTTTCCCTCCTTCCGAACACACCGGGCCGGGCGCGTTACAGACGCAGTTTAAAAGCCGCAAAGAAACGGCGGCCGCGGGCTAGAAGGTGACATCGATAAATAAAATCTACACCGGTTCGCCCAGTAAATAATATTAATAACGTCGCGGACGCCCGGGTGAATTGGACCGGCCACATTATACATATTATAAGTATATACAGGGTGTTCAAACGAGATTAGTTCGCACACCGTCCACACCAAAATGGAATATTAAAAAAAAAAAAATACCGCACTCCTGCGATCACTCTAACCCATGAAAATATCCAAAAATATGTTTGAAAAACACATTTTGTATTAGTTACTTTGGCAGTCTTGCAACATAATTTAAACACATATAATGGGTAAGACTTATATAAAATATTAAAAATACATTTTCAATTTCAGATGAGATAGTTGGATAATATATAAATATTTAATATAATTATACAGGGAACTGATCCCTATGCAACTACATAACTGCCGCTCTACATAAAATGCATTACCTAATGACGTTAAAAATGTTCTTACCTAAGCAACACAAATGCTCTAGAACAATAAAAGAAAATTACAAAAAAAAAAGGGAAAAAATACAAGAACACTCAAGCCACAAAAACTAGATATCCACTGCTCATACGAACGGAATCGACTTGCAACCAATAATTACACTGCACGAAGTCAATAATAAGAAAAACAATGCTGTAACTTTTTAAGGACATTTTGTACTTTTATAATTGTAGGCACTCATTTGATGTTGCTGTAAAGGCAATAACAATGGGTCAATAATTTTCGTACAGTATACGCGTATAATGTGTAGACTGGATTGTGAAGTATATACCATGTTTGACATTCATTTGACCTTTGATACGTTTCCAAAAATTCTAGGAAAACGTACAAGTGAAATAAAATTGTACTAGTGAACCGTTTCTACGGTATAGAATTAGCATTGGTTAGTATAGAAAGTTATCATATTATTTCGTTCACAAAATAACATAGGTACATATAATATAGCTAAGAGTCGTCGTAGCCGTCGTCTGTTTTTTTACACAATATACAGACCATATTATATCATATAGGTACTCCTTTATATAGACCGATATAGTCGTGACTTGGAAAACTGTTAAAATTGCCTTAGGATGGCCATAATATGCTAAAAACAATGCGATATTGCAGAATATACCTTGGTGTACGAATGTTGGGTGTAGGTATATGGGTAAATGACCGAAAATGCATTGACAACCTATTACGCATATTATGACAACCAACGTTCCTAGAGATCACGAAGAACGGCGGTGGCACGTTTCGTATGGTTTCGTCTTAAAGATTTAAAATCGGGAAGACGACGCGCGAACATCCTGTATATACACACAAGAGCACACGTTTCGGTGCAGCAGGCGTGTATAGCGGCGTATACACAAACACACACACACACACACACACACACACACACACACACACACACACACACGCACACACTTACAAACACATTAAAGACGTGTAGAACAGGAGTCACGCGGTTATAATGTATATAATAATATGCGCGCACCGGCCACAGGTATTTATAAGTATGTAAGTGTAATAAGTATGCATATATATCATACACGCACACACATCAAGCGCAGTGTCACACAAACACACACTATTATATACGTGTAGGTACCGCGTGTACGCACATCTCAGAGCTATAACGCCTACCCGAGTAACCGACACACACACACACACACACACACACTGTCTCGCTCGCATAATATAATATACATTTAAACATTTTGTACGTTTATACATATTATTATTATTATGTACAATAATACGAGCGTTGTCGAGCCGTCTGTAAAACACGGTAATAATAATAATAATAATAATAATAATTTTTTTCAAGTTTTCGTTTTTTTTGTCCTCCGCTTTGCTCTGTTCGTATATGCACATACGTGTATATGTATAGATGTGACGGCGGCGTTCGCAGCAGCCGCAAAGTATCGCTGCTTCTGCTGCTGCTGTTGCTGATGCCGTCGTGGATCGCGGGGTCCATTCATTATTGTACACACATACATATTACACATTATACATATTATTATTATTATTATTATGTGTATACTGAATTCACGACACCACCGCCGATGGCACACGTGATATTATAACAACCGCCGACAGCGCGAGAGGATTAAACATCTGCCCTTCGACACACACACACGACTATATTGCACACACTCCACGGTCCGCTGAACAACCGTGTCACCCTGTAAACACACATACATGGGTTAGGTGTGAGTGTGTGTGTGTGAGTGTGTGTGTGTGTGTGTGTGTGTGTGTGTGTGTGTTTTATTGTACACGCATCCCGGGGCTTATCAACCGGAATAATAATGATGCGCTCACGGAGTGCTTGCAATAATAAAATATATTATAATATCTCTAATAATACCTATATAC